GACGTCGTATAGCTCTGATCTCCGTTTAACCCACGCTCGGCGGCCGTTCAGGTTTGAACCAGGATCATCGTTTGACCAAGGTTCAAGACAAATTGAAAAACGGCAATTTTTGAGTTGAACTCTGTTCAGTACTGAATTGAGTTTAAACCAAGCTGGTGCAACGGACCTAAACTCCCCACATTAATATTATTTTAATTAATTATACTTTTTATCTCGGTTGAGATGAAAACCTAATGAGACGAGCGTGATTCGAAATTCAGAAAGATTCATCTCAACCAAGACCTTCGATAAAATTTATATTTAATGAAAATCATTATTACTTATGACTACTTATTAATCATTATCCTTAGTACATATACGGATTATTGCTATTATTATTGAACAACCACAGAAAATTTCCTTTTTCAAATTGCACACAAATTAATTTGACAGAAACTTTAGATACGACTAAGGATGGGATGGAAAAACATTTTCATACTAGATTTCAAATAATACATAGTGTGTCTTTTTTAGGTGGCCGGTTTTTTTTCTCATGGACCAAAGACTATCAAAAAATACGTGTATAATATTTTTTAGTTTAGTTTCCAATTTTTATCTTTTTTAGGAGAATCATTATACAGGATACCTCAGGCCCAATTCAACTTACTCGCAATATCAAATAAGTCCCTATACATTCTGATTCATTGTTTTAAAGAATTTAGCTGAAAACAATGGTGCAATTGGATTTTAAATTGGTCAAAAAATGACAAAGTTTTGTCAAGAAGTTTGAAAAAAATGCATTTTGTCGTTAATCCATTAATTTGCTTCTTCACTAAATTTACCTAAATCAATTGCTTTTATTGTTTACATTCTGTCATTTTTGTCAAATTCGCATACTGAGAGCAAATCTTAATTCCTGGAAGTAAATAAATTTTACAATAATACCTATTCTTTACTTTACAATTAATTAAGGTTTTTAGTTGAGATGAAAAAAAGTTAATGGTACGAGAGGGATTCGAACCCACGACCTTCGGCTAGATACGCCGCTGCTCTACCACCTGAGCTATCGAGACCTCGTTCCACTCGGACATCAACTTCCTATCTCAACCCCACCTTATGAGTTTTCCCTCCTTTTGCCAGTTTTCAAGTCCGAGTGGATCGAGGTCTCGATAGCTCAGGTGGTAGAGCAGCGACGTATCTAGCCGAAGGTCGTGGGTTCGAATCCCTCTCGTACCATTAACTTTTTTTCATCTCAACTAAAAACCTTAATTAATTGTAAAGTATTAATTGGTCAAGCGGACCACGAAATTAGTGAACCTATTCTTTACGTTCAATATTCCATTTAAAATGAACAGAAGAGCACAATTTTCCGATGAACAGCGAGTTGATATGTACGACTGCTTTATTGATAGTGGTGGTCGTGCGTCGAGTTGTACTACCAGAAATTTCCTGATCGTCCCAGAATAAACCACCATCACCAAGAAACTGTATGTTCGCCAAAATCTAAATTGTTCTCTACGTTTAGGTTTTTCAAAAACAACACTATTATATGATGTTCCTCTGCAACTACAGCAAAGCATGATTCTCCAACTTGATGGATGCCCCGCACACAATTCTTTGCAGGTGAGACGTTATTTGAATCCTCACTTCCGGGGTAGGTGGATAGGACCACATGGCCCGACTGTTGGCCTCTCGGTCACCCGATTTAATTCCACTTGACTATTTTCTATGGGGCCATTTAAAAAAAACGGATTCTACGCCAGTAATAACCCGTTAACCTCAGTAGAAGAACGGCGGCAAAGGATCGAAAATGCTATTCAATCCATCTCCCCTGAGCACCACCACTCTATCGCTTTGAGCACCGGTGAAGAATGGTTAAGAAGAGCAAACCTTCGTATCTTTACTCCAGACAGGCATACGAGCATGAAATATGATTAATAAATAGCAAACCAAATGACTGTTAGTTGTTTTGTTTTCAAAACTTTTGCCATAACTTTGGCCAATTTAAAATCCCTTTGCACCATTGTTTGAGGGTAAAATTTTTTTTTAAATTTTGAAGTTTTACTGAGCCTGAGGTACTTTGTATAATTTTTCTCCAAAACACGTATTTATTTATTTTTGTAGCCTCATTGGTTCAAAAGAAATTTAGCCAGGCCATCTAAAAAGGACACTCTGTATATGTACGTACTTTATTTTTTTCACGTATAGTGTTTATTAGTGTGTTTTTTAGTATAAGTTTTTTGTTTGAGGAAGAAATAAAACGGCAAAATAATGAGAATTTGATGTAGTTTGTATTGCGTTTTGAAAAAAATGAGACCTCCAAGCAAAGCTCTGTAAGAAACAAACTCATTTACATTAGGGAAGGACTCCAAAAAAAATTTTTTTGAACTTCCTTGTAAAGCGAACTTGTTCCTCCTTCTTTCTGTCGACTTCTTCAGCGTAATACTGACGACTTCTTCATAACTTTTGAATAGGTGCGAATGATTTTGATTTTTTGCTTCACTTGAAATAGATGAAATACAAACCCTGTGACATATTTTACAGGGTAAATTATTGGAAAGTCATTTATTTTTGTTTGACGCCGATATTCACTCTTCATAATGATATTTAAAATCGTCATCTTCTGGCAAAACATAATACAGCCAATCTTAGAGCGTGATGGTTAATTGCACTGAAATAGCCGAAAACTTGCATTCGGAGTACTTAACTGTACTCAACTCAACTCATAAGGGCGATCTAATTTCATTCCCGACAAAAGGCGAGCTTTACGTAACTTTTTCCTTCCGGAGAGGTCAACGTCGAGTGAATTCAAGGATCGGGCCAGCAGGTGGATCTTTCTCTCGGGTGACGCAACTCCGAACTCGAAGGAAATGTCTCGGAGGAGTTTCGAAATGCCCAGGCCTTGGAACAGATCTGAATGGGCTCGCAGGTCCGTGTCCACCGTCCATTGGCCAGATATCTCACAGCGTGGGGAATCGGAAATATTAAACAACCTCTAAACTCTTATCCATTTTTCAAAGGACGCCAGTTTAATTAAAACTGAAGGCCTCCGATTGCCTGCAAAATAATTAACTTCCGAGAGAAAGTCCTCTAAGTCTTTCACAAAATCCGTTGTACTAGATTTAAGCCTTCGGATACAGAATACTTCCTATTAACGAAACCGTATTCTCAATAGGGATGAGCATCGATGGTCGATGTTTAGAAAACAACATTTCAACATCGATGTTAATGTGTCGATGTTTTTTGACCATCGTTCCACTGTTGTGAATAGGGTCTGACGCACATTCTTCTGATATGAAAGTGACCTATCCGAACCTGGCAGGAGTTGTTCAATTTGTTGCCTTAATGGCACATCTGTTCTCTTTATTCGAGTTAACACGAGTTAACAACGAACAAATATCCTGAATACCCCTTAATTTCGTAAGCTGGCCAGATTATTGCAAAAACCAGAAATTGCTTAGAGGGTAAAATGGCTTTAAAGCTACGTTTTTTTAATTCCGTTACGGAGAAGATGTGGTAGTGTTTCATTGCAAAATTTGAATAAATTGTTATAATTTAATGAATTAAGGGGGCATCGGTAGCCGCAACGGTTTAGGCGTTGACACGGCGCTCATCACTGTAAGGTAAAGGTCCCGTGTTCGAATCCAGCGGCCCTGCATTCGAACCAGACATACTTACAAATGGGCTTTTTTTCAAAAACATCGGGTTTATACGACCTCTACTGTTGCGAACCCTCGATAAAAAAATAATAAATTAACGATATGGTTGACAGGAATTGGGGATTGGATTATGAATGTTTTCCAAACTAACGAAGAAAAAAACAGGGAGTTATTTTGAATAAAATTCACAAGCACAAAATACTTTAACAATACACGTATTTTAATTAAAAAGGACCAAGAAATCTATGTACAGTTGTAACCAAAGGCAAAAAAAAATCCTAATAATTGTTATTAAAGTAATAAACATCGTTTTTATTAATCAAGTTCCTAATAAAGGCGAACTTAGAAAAATTAGTGTTTCTAAAGTGTCATATAAAAATAATTGATACGTATGTAAATAATTTTTGTTTTGAGTAATGAGTACTTTGGCCGCGGTAGCCTAGTGGTTAAGGCATCAGACTCTCGGCTAGTAGATCCCGCGGTCGTGTGTTCGATCCCCACCGTCGCCTCTGGGCTTTTTTTCTGACGCCTCAGGGGACCGGTGGCCGCAATTGAAAGAATTTGACACGGCAGTCATCAATGGAAGGGGCGGGATCTCAGCGACCCTGAATTAGGTCCCAACCCCCTTCAAAAATGAGTTTCTTCGATGGAAGAACACCAGTACAAAGGGGGCTCAAGTTCCCATTTGTGTTGCGAGCCCTCCCCCAAAATATGGAGCCAGGGATAATGTACAATAAGCTGTACAGCTCAGCTGCAGTGCTCAGGAGGGAACTCCTCCAGTCCCTGGTATAAAAAAAAAAAAAAAAAAAAAAAAAAAAAAAAAAAACCTATAGAATCAGATGGTCATACCCTTCGATGGTGAGGGTGAGGCTCCGATGTTTAATCGATGGTGATCATCGATGTTTTTCTATAGATGCTCATCCCTATTTCTTAATTACATACTTCAAAATACAAAACAATTTAATTATCATACTGTTCTTTTTTAAATAATGTGAAATGTATAAGTCCTCAATAAACCAATCCAATAATCTTCATTCAAATAACATTTATAATTTTTTTTTAAATTATAAACAATAGGCTACGTAGTATATTGATTTAGATTGTAGATAATTAAAGAGATACTAAAAATACAGAAACAAACAGGTGTGTTTGTTTTTCTTTGAAATATAGATATTCTGTTGAGGTCTGCGATATCATTAATCACCCCAGACCGCCTTATATACCGAATAAAAGACCTTTAGACTAGGTTCACTAACATAGACCATTCAGAAGTTTCTAAGACAGATTGTGGCTATTGCAATATATACTATCTACTTCTTTAGCTCAATAAGTTTTCATAGCATAAGAGGAAAAAGTACTCACATGGTCCCCTTGCCGACAGTCATGTTGAGGTTTTGAAGAACGTGGTTGGGCGTCTTTGAAGATCCATAATGTTTGAAGGCGTGGCGGACAGAAACGGCCTGCTGCCTCCTCGTCCAAACGGTGCTGGTCTGGTGCTCGAGTTTGGGCTTCTGATTGTCCACAGTTACCACGTCCGGCCCTTCGTCCAAGCTCAGGGCTGGATTCACCACGCCACCTTCCCTGTTAAAAAAACAAAAAAAAACAGGTCAGTTAAGTTAGAAAAACCAGCAAGTGAAGGAACTTCATGTTAATGGAAAGCACCGTCAAAATGCTTGAAGAATGGAAGGAAGGTATAGACATAACCCGTTCAACACTACCCCGCGTAACAACAACGTACCATCGTAAATGTTATGATTACAATTTGAAATTCAGCCAAGCAATTCTTGACACATAGTCATTCAAGGAGACAAAGCAAGAACGGTGGAAATCGTTTAACTTTAAAGCTACTGAAAATTCACTAATTACGTAGTCTGCGTGACCAATTAATACGTTACAATTAATTAAGGTTTTTTGTTGAGATGAAAAAACTTAATGGCTCGAGCGGGATTCGAGCCCACGATCTTCGGCTTCATACGCCGCTGCTCTACCACTTGAGCTATCGTGACCTCGATCCACTCGGACATCAACTTTTGAAAAATGGCAAAAAGGAGAGAAAACTCATAAGGTGGGGTTGAAATCGAGTGGATCGAGGTCACGATAGCTCAAGTGGTAGAGCAGCGGCGTATCTAGCCGAAGATCGTGGGTTCGAATCCTGTTCGTGCCATTAACTTTTTTTCATCTCAACAAAAAACCTTAATTAATTGCTATTGAAAATATTGATCTTTTATAGGAAGAAATTAAGCAACATTTCACGATGGATGTTTAAAAAAAGCCATGACCGGAAATATATATTTTTTACAGGTAAGTGATTGATATAACACATCTACCAATACAGGAAGACTAAGGAACAAGATATCCTTGAATTAATACAATCCGACGTACAACCATTGACAAACGATGTATTTCTCAAGAACAACATCCCAATTAAAAGCGAAAAAAAAGAATTGATCGTTCCTCAAGAAACCACGCGAATTTTACCAATAAAAAACTAAAACAACATGGTAAAAAAGAAAACCCCTCAAAAAAGGACGATTTGCGATCTACGCGAATTGCCGAGGAACATCACTTGCGTCAAATATTGAAACGACCCAGAAGGATATATAACATAAAAAATTTGGGAAATTGTAATAGGGGTATTCCCGATCTTTGTGTTAATCCTGTTAACTCTGTTAGGTCCTGTTAGATCTAGAAAAATGGTGACGTAGACTTGTAAGAATCGGCCAGTTAACACTCGATTTAACTGGCCAGAGCCAATGTTAGATGTTAGGTCGAAAATGTAGTCACATTGCTATCCGTTAGGGCGTACGTAATCAACATGGCAGCCATGAATTTAACAACTGTTTTTTGTTTACACCTATTTTCATTCTTAAATACTGTTCGCGCCAAAAATCGGGAATTATAATTGTTTATTTTGTTTCCGAAATGCCGCTAATCTAGAATTTATCCTAGCGCTGTTCCCTCCCCACAGTCCTGTCCTGTTGCGTCCTAGTCCTGCTCTAGTCCTGTTCGCTTCCGTCTCGCTTCCATACAGTCCACTGTTAATTAGCCTCCAAGAGTGATTTTCTTTTAGTTTTCTTTCAGTTTTTCTCTTATTTTCAAGAAGCATTTTTTTTCTTTCGTTTTGTTAATTATCGCGTTCAAAATAACGCGAGTGTCTCCTCCCGCATCCTTAATGCGACACATCATACAGGGTTTCAACGGAGCCCCGAAGGTAATTAATAAACTAGGATTCTGTTTTATCATTGGCCAGAGTTATTGCAGGTTCTAGCTATTAAACGGCTCTCCTCCCTGGTTGTCGAGAAAATCAAGCCACAGTTAACAAGTTAGTATTTTATTTTGTATTTTATTTTATTTTGTATTTTTATTTTATTTAATTTTATTTTTATTGCAACCGACCAGCGCGTGCACAAATACCATTAATTAAATCAGACCAATGCATTTCTTTTGTTAATTTCTGACCTGTCCTTATACTCTGATTCATAGTAGAGACATCCCCTATGCTATAAATTTGTAGGCAGTTAGACGTTAGGATACAAGTTATGTATGTCGGCACGAATTGAAGCGTGTCATTTATTAGTAATTTCGGGTGCATAGATAGCATTTTGAATGAAAGAGTTGATTAATTTGCCTTTTTTATTAATTTTTATTAATACCCCTATTATGTAAAAAATAAAACTGTTGCGTCCCATGAAATTTTTTATCCATAATAATGCCAAGATATTTTAATACATCAGCGAAAATTATCGGTTGATGTTTAAATCTTTATTGAATGTTGTTCTTTTTTTTTAGAAAATAATAAGCCTTTACATTGAAAATAGTTAAATCTCATTTGTCTTTTTATCTGAATAACTTCTAGAACTGAATTACCACTAGCTTTTATATCTGAATGTTGGTTTTCTGCCATCGAAATAATAAATCTGCAGCGCAGATGAATGGCGGAGTATTCAGAGGAAAGAGTGTTTGAGCAGAGAGACATATGGATTGTTTGTGCGCCAAAACCCAGAGCCACAATGGAAGCCCTGTGCACAGCCTTTTTGGGTGGATTTCCTTTTTGAACTAAACCTATCTTAATGAAAGCTAATCGTTCAAAAAATTAACTTTTGGTTAAATTAAATGTATTTTTCGGGCACTGAAACGCTATTATTACCTAACCTGTCGACTATCACGGCGCATTGAACGCAACTTTAATTTTCACAGACAATACAAGCACATTGTGTTTATGTTTTAATTGACTTTCATACTTCTATACTAAAATAAGGTGCTATAATGTATTATTTATAATGTGTAAGATAGTAAGGTTGATAATACGTATCACTGGAAATTGAACATAAAATATAAATAGATACAAAGAGAATAATGTATTTATAGGCATAACAGCATAATCATATAAGATTATTGTACGTAAAAGATATACAGAATTCAATTTACTAATTTCGTGGTCCGCTTGACCAATTAATATATTACAATTAATTAAGGTTTTTAGTTGAGATAAAAAAGTCAATGGCACGAGCGGGATTCGAACCCACGATCCTAGGCTTGATACGCCGCTGCTCTACCACTTGAGCTATCATGACCTCCATCCACTCGGACACCAACTTCCCATCTCAAACGTATCAAGCCGAGGATCGTGGGTTCGAATCCCGCTCATGCCATTGACTTTTTTATCTCAACTAAAAACCTTAATTAATTGTGATATACAGGATATTACTTTTTTTGAAAGTGGGGGGAAAAATTAATGTTGGTGCTGAAGCTGTTTAAGAAATGGTTTAATGTATGTTTTTTTCCAAACCAAAAATTAGTTCAGTGCTGCATTAGTATTGATCTCGTCATTTTATTTAGAAGAAAATTACGTTCAATAAACAAGGTTTGACATAAAAGCGTATACGCTCGAAAGCTAATCCCCACAAAAACGATATCAAGAAGTATAACAATAATGTCACAGCAAAGAAAATTTATTAGTAGGTTATTAGGTATCTTTATAAAACATCACTAAATAATTGTAGGTATGGGTACCATCAGTTTATTATGGCTAATAATGGTTTTACAATGGTTATTCATGGTTAAGATAGGACTTATATTAAACTTACTATGACAAAAGCTGAATACTTAATATTATTATGTATATTTATAGGTATATTTACACGTGTAAAGGTCTCGGACAAAACGGTAAAGAACCCAACATACTTAAAAAAAACTTGCAGATGGGCTTTTTTCTAAAAACCGGCACCTGGTCTGTTAAACTTTTTCTTTTTTTAACAAGGGTTCACAACAGCAGAGGTCATATAAACCCTCAGAGTGCCGCTGGATTCGAACCCGGTACCTTTGCCTTACAGTAATGAGCGCCTTGTATACGCCTAAACCGTTGCGGACCGACGCCCCCAATTTTTGTTTAAGAATCCAGCAATGATTAAATGATACAGGAAGAAAAGTAATAATGAACGCTATAATTATAAATATGTATGTAAAACAAGAAGGGACGTGGGAAAAAATACAGAAATATGGAAGGAGTTCGGAATGAAGAAGGACCCAATAAATGGCATGAAGGATGTGAGAAACCTCACAAAGAAGCTTCGCAGGAAATAAGTACGAAGCATGTAAAAAACACATTAGATTGAATTAGAAAAAAACCAAGAACATTTTCCTGATTGAAGGAAGGAATAGTTGCCCAATGTTAAAGAAAATTCGCACAAATACAAAATACTAACCTCACATGAGAAAATCGGTAATATTAAAAACGGTGAAGTAATTAAGTTGGCCAAGGCAACGAAACTGCGGATTTAAGATGTATGTCGTGATCCCAGAAATACGCAGGACACGTCGTTAGACGCCCGATTAGATTCTAAAACGAGATTGGCGAGACAATGGCATTGTTCTAATATTCCTAAGTTAACACTAGGCTTTTTTTTTTTTTAAGAAATTATTCGTGGCAGAGTTGACGAATTTTAAAAAGTCTATCGACAACCGCTGATCAAATCGACTTAAAAGTTCATATTAATTAGTTTAGATTTTTTTTTAAATTTAGTTTTCAAACCTGATTTCACGAGAAAGGGCATGCTTATCGTCAGAAACCACATACTACCGCTTTTATTATTTTAAAAACAATAATTTTTTAAAAAAATTGGTACCATCTAAAATTCGACTATCAAAGAACAAACAAATGCTTTGTTCAGAACTTGTTTTATTTGTTTGAACGATAATTTTGGTTTTAGATTTGAAAATATCGTAAAGATCGAAAGTAAATAAAAACAAAAATTAGACAATGAAAGCTTTCTATTAACAGTGGTCATTGAGCAGATTATGCTTTTTCTAAAGCAAAATCAACATAAATAGTGAGTCATATTTACCATGCTTAAATTGGAATTCATTACAAAATGGGATTATTTCAATTTTTCAGAAGCTTTTTTAAGTTTTCACTGACTTTGACATAATTGACTGCGCTTAATTAATTGTCTAACTTGGTCCTTTGTAAATGTTCTCGTAGGTGTCGAAGCGGTTCGAGACTCGGAAGCGGGAGCCGTATGCAAATTGAAAAGAAGACAAAGGCTCTAAGAGCTACATAAGGAGCCAAGGTTGCATGAATA